TTTTCTCGTCACCATATTCCCACCAATGGCGTAGCTCCACTTTCTGCATATAAAACCACACAACCCACAATTCCTCCAATTGCTCTGACGAAGGGCTAACACTCGAAACGTCAGCTTTTTTACCCTTTACGGTGGCTAATTTACCTTTTTCAACTAAGTTGTTAACACTAAATTACCTGCTATACTCTCCCACCGACGCAACACCACAGTTTCTTTAGAAACTTACCCCTTTATTCATTTATCAATAGTGAAACCCTAATTAGTTGTCACGAGTTTGGTGAATGTGAAAGAAAGTGTCTAACTCAGCGTTTTTATGGGTGAACAAACTAAAACGAGATTGACTTGGGGTAGGTAGGCCTAAACAAAGGAGAACAAGGTTAACTTGACGTATACGTCGGTCAACAAGAAAATACGAAGTTAAAATAGGGTAGATAAGGGTAAAAAATGGCTAACGTAGGGTAGATGTGGGTTAACGTGGTAGAATATGGTTAACTTAGTGTAGATGGGGGTTAACGTGGTAGAGGTTGGTTAACTCGGGGCAGAAGTTGGCTATCGTAGTAAAACAAGGTTAATTAGGACATATCGTGAGCCATACATGAAGTCTATAATGTGAATGTTGTCAATCATTTTGTCGTCTACTTGGCATTCAGACATGGCGTCGATACCCGTATATGGCTGTGTTACAACCATCTCAATTCCTTTGGCAAAACCTTTAGCCTAACTCTTTGCCTCTCCTACAGCACCATGGCTCGCAAAAGTTCTAATTATTATCGATCAAAGTCTCTTAATGCCCAATGGGAAGATTTGAGTTGCTCGGTAAGTTATCTTTTGAACGAGCACAAGGAACCAACACCGAAGGCGGAAAGTCTTGGGCAGATTAAGACAGGGCATTGGGTGAACAGTTCAGAACGTACTCACTGTGCTGATGGAAGCTGTCGGAAGAAATTTACGTTAACGGAGAGAAAGCATCACTGCAGAAGGTATGTAAAACGCTGGCTAGCGGGCTTAAGTTCTGGCTACTACAAAATAACGCGTTGTTATCCTAATATCAGTAATATGGAATCCAATTCAATAGATTTATCTTGCTTTCTTTACCATCTGAGGAAGAGATTGGGTAAAATTTCCGCACAGCCCCATACTACATTATGCATTCAGCTCTTGGATAGAGAAAACAATGACAAAAACAATAAATTGCCATCGGGAAAACAGATTTGTTTTAAAATAGTATGGGGCTGTGCGAAAATTATACCCCACACTTTTCAGATTCCTGTTGGGGAATGGCAGTTGTAATAGTGGCAATAGTTATTATTTTCCTCCAGGAGGGGAAGGGGGCACTCAAGTCCATTAGGATGGGTAAACAGATGTAAAAACGTATTTGAAACTCTGTTGGCAACAGGAAGTATCTCTGAATTTAAGATTTGTTTCGACAATTTTTATAGAATTATTTTTAGGATAATTTCTAGATTGTAGCCTTTAAAACTGTTCATAAAGTTCAAGATAAGATATTCTTAGGCTAGGAGATAAATTGCTCAATTCAACTAATTTTGTTCATGACTGCATCAGCTTTGCTAATCACTCTGCAGCTATTCTAAGAGCTTATCAATCTTGTGGTCTGGTCATCTGGAGGGGAGTAGCCTTTTACAGAAGTCTTTTCATTAGTCAGACCACATTGTCAGCCATGAATCCTGGGTTCAAACTATTTACTCTGTCCTTAAAGTGTCTTTTAAAAATCAAAATGAAGCTGTTTTGTTTACCATACTTTTTATTTTAAGGTGTGGGGAAGTATTTTGTGGCAAGTGCTCTCAATACAGGCGTCGGCTGTCAGTATTTGGAACTCCAGATCCAAATGGATTTAGCTACAGAGTAAGAAATAATATTTAACTCTTAACTTTTTGTTTTTAGTAAATTTACTTTTACTGAGATGCTGTAACCTAATGGTTGGTGCAATTGAAAGAATTTTAAACCTGTGCCATTTTTACAGGGAATATTACAGAGAATTACCCCTCCCCTCATTTTGCACAGGCCACTTGGGTTACTGGATACACCACTAGTTGGAGAAGTGATAGTGGTAACTTTAATGATGACTTATAAACTGTTGCCATGGTTCTCTCTTATCAGGTATGTAAAAGCTGTTTTGATGTTGGACCACAGAGGGATGGAGCTTTCCGCTCGTTATGGAAAGAATTCAACCACTTTCGAAACCTCACAAAATCTAGGAAAAACAACAATGATCATAAAGATGGGCCTGGTCACCTTGTGACACATATAAAAGAAGAGTTACAACGACTTGTTGATGGTTATACCAAGCACATTGGCCAGTCAAAATTAAAGTCCTTTGTGAGTGAAACATTTAGCTTTGTGAAGATCCCAGACTGGCAAAGATCAAAACATTGGATGGTGAGGAGCTAATTAATTTTCTTAGCAACATTAGGTGGATAAATATCATATTTAGCAGGCAAAAGCATTGTTGTATGTCAGAAGATTTTCATCAAGCAGTGATGTCAAGTTTGCAGTGTTTTTCCAACTTTTATTTTAAACTTTCGTGCCACAGAAGAATTATGCAGGTTTAAGAGAGTGTCTCTGTAAAGGGCTATTTACACGGTACGACTTTGTCGCATGCGACAAGCTTACGACGGGCCTACGA